CGTGGTGGGGTACACCAACTGTGGTGAGGACGTGTCCACGGGAGGGGGTTCCGTGGTCTCCGTGGGGGGTACACCAACTGTGGTGAACAGATGTCCACGGGAGGGGGTTCCATGGTTTCCGTGGGGGTACACCAACTGTGGTAAAGACGTGTCCAGGGAAAGGGGTACCGTGGTCTCTGTGTGGGGTACACCAATTGTGGTGAGGACGTGTCCAGGCAAGGGGGTTCCGTGGTCTCCGTGACGGCTATGCCAACTGTGGTGAGGACGTGTCCATGGGAGGGGGTTCCGTGGTCTCCGTGGTGAGGTATACCAACTGTGGTGAGGACGTGTCCACGGGAGGGGGTTCCATGGTCTCCGTGGTGAGGTATACCAACTGTGGTGAAGACGTGTCCACGGGAGGGGGTTCCGTGGTCTCCGTGGTGAGGTATACCAACTGTGGTGAGGACGTGTCCAGGGGAAGGGGTTCCGTGGTCTCTGTGGGGGGTACACCAACTGTGGTGAAGACGTGTCCATGGGAGTTGGTTCCGTGGCCTCCGTGGTGGGGTACACCAGCTGAACTGACCCAGAGGTGGGGTTCCATGGTCTCTGTGCGGGGTACACCAGCTGTGGTGAGGACTTGCACAGGGAGGGGGCTCCCCGTGGTGCATACACCAGGTCTGGTGCAGATTCACCCAGGGAAAGGGGGTCCCGTGGTCCTTGTGGTGGGTGCGGCAGCCGTGGTGACAATGACATTATCCCCATCCTGCCGTCTACGTCACCACCGCCCCGTCCTCACCACCACCTCCCTCCATCTTCACCATCTTCCCATCCACACCATCTCACTCTCACCTGTCTACACCACCAGCTCCCCTGTGTCTACATGGCGGCCCTGCTTTATCCGGCCTGAGAGCAGCCACAGTGGCTTAGTCCCGCATGTCGTGTGTGGTCCCAGGGAGCTCGGGGACCTGTCACCCTGGGTGCAGCCACCCGACGGTGCTGTGGTCTCCACTCCGAGGGCCCGGGTATGGCTCCGGGGGTTGGAACCCACGGCTCCCTGCACCCCTGACCTCCACGCCCTCCCAGGGAAGACCACGCTGATCAAGGCGCTGACGGGAGACGCCGCCCTGCAGCCACGGGACCAGCTGTTTGCCACACTGGACGTCACGGCCCACGCAGGCACGCTGCCCTCACGCCTGACCGTCCTGTACGTGGACACCATCGGGTTCTTGTCCCAGCTGCCACACGGGCTCATCGAGTCCTTCTCCGCCACCCTGGAAGACGTGGCCCACTCGGTGAGTCAGGGCTGTGGGGGGCTGGGCTCTTGGACACCCACTGAGACAGGGGCCAGGGTCTCAGACACGCAATCAGACCAGGGGCCGGGGTCTCAGACACCCACTCGGACCAGGGACCGTCTGTCAGACGCCCCGTCAGCCAAGGGACCGGCTCTCGGATGCCCACTTGGGGGACCGTCTCTCAGACACCCTCTTAGTCAAGGGGCCAGGCTCTGGGATGCCCACTCGGACCAGGGGCCAGGCTCTGGGACACCTGCACCACTCGGGCCACGCAGATAACAACTGCCTTCTCGGCCTCAGACTTAGCGTCCCCCAAGCGTCCCTTTTCCCCGGGGCAGAGGCTGAGCAGTGGCCCCAGCCTCAACCACACTCAGCCACCGTGATGAGCCCGTGTACAAAGTCAGGGCCGGGAGCGGCGGCTCAGGCCTCTCCTCACGGCACTTTGGGAGGCCGAGGCGGGTGGATCATTCGACGTCAGGGGTTCAAGACCAGCACGGCCAACACAGTGAAACCGTCTCTGCTAAAAAGACAAAGATTGGCTGGGCATGGTGGGCGGGCGCCTGTAGTCCCACCTACTGGGGAGGCTGAGGCAGGAGAACCGCTGGAACCCGGGAGGCGGAGGTTGCAGTGAGCCGAGATCGCGCCATCGCACTCCAGCCGGGGCGACAGAGCTTGGTGGGTTGGGGTCCTGAGTGTACTCCCGGCCCCCGCAGGACCTGATCCTGCACGTGAGGGACGTCAGCCACCCCGAGGCGGAGCTCCAGAAAGCCAGCGTCGTGTCCACGCTGCGTGGCCTGCGGCTGCCCGCCCCGCTGCTGGACTCCATGCTGGAGGTTCACAACAAGGTGGACCTGGTGCCCGGGTAAGTCCGGCCCTGCCGCCCGCGCGCGTCACGCCTTCCCCTGCAGGCGCTGGAGACCCTGCCCTCGTGTGAACTGCTGGCCGCTGGCACGCAGGCCGAGGCCGGGAGAACCGCTTTGGCCCGGGAGGCAGACATTGCTGCCCCAGGCTGTGCCCGGCGGGCGCCTGAGTCGGGGACCTGCTTTCTGCCAGCCTGCCACCCCGAGGCTGAGCGGGCTCCGTGGCCTCCCCGCCCTCGCAGGTACCACGCCACGGAACCGAACGTCGTGCCCGTGTCTGCCCTGCTGGGGCACGGGCTCCAGGAGCTGAAGGCGGAGCTGGATGCGGCCGTGTTGAAGGCCACGGGGAGACAGGTCCTCACCCTCCGCGTCCGGCTGGCCGGGGCCCAGCTCAGGTGAGCGGTTCCCTCCCGGGGCGGTGGGGGGGTGGATGGTGTTCTGCCGGCCGGTTTCTGGCTCAGAGAGGGGCTCCCTGGGGGTGCAGAAGGAGCTGTGGGGTCCCCGGGAGCTTTAGGATGCAGAGACGAGGTGAGACTTTTCTGAATGGTTTCACAGCAAATGTGTACTGGGGAAGTCAGTGTGCATACAGCAGGCGCCTAATCTGTGCTCACCGACACCCTAAGGGTATAGGACTCCCTACCAATACCAAAGCAGGCTGCAGCCGGGCGCGGCGGCTCACACCTGTCAGCCCAAGACGTTGGGAACCCGACGTGGGCAGAAAAGCCGAGGTCGGGAGTTCGAGACCAGCCCGGGCAACACAGCGAAACCCCGTCTCTACTAAAAATACAAAAATTAGCTGGGCGTGCTGGCGGGTGCCTGTGATCCCAGCTACTCTGGAGGCTGAGGCGGGAGAATCGGCTTGAACCCGGGAGGCGGAGGCTGCAGTGAGCTGAGGTCACGCCACTGCACGCCAGCCTGGGAGACGGAGCCAGACTCTGTGCAAAAAAAAAAAAATTAAGGGCCGGACGCGGTGGCTCAGGCCTGTAATCCCAGCACTTTGGGAGGCCGAGGCGGGTGGATCATGAGGTCAAGAGATCGAGACCATCCCGGTCAACATGGTGAAACCCCGTCTCTACTAAAAATACAAAAATTAGGTGGGCGCGATGGCGCGTGCCTGTGATCCCAGCTACTCGGGAGGCTGAGGCGGGAGAATCGCTTGAACCCGGGAGGTGGAGGCTGTGGTGAGCCGAGGTCGCGCCATTGCACTCCAGCCTGGGTGACTCCCGACCTCAGGCGATCCGCCTGCCTCAGCCTCTCAAAGTGCTGGGATTACAGGCTTGAGCCACCGCGCCCAGCCCTCTTGGTTTTTTTTTTTTCGTGGGGACGGCAGAGTCTTGCTCTGTCGCCCAGTCAGGAGTTCAGTGTCAGGATCTCGGCTCACAGCAACCTCCGCCTCCCGGGTTCACGCAGTTGTCCTGCCTCAGCCTCCTGAGTAGCTGGGATTACAGGCTGCTGCCCCGTCATGCCTGGCGAATTTTTTTGTATTTTTAGTAGAGACGGGGTTTCCCCACGTTGACCAGGCTGGTCTCGAACTCCCGACCTCATGATCCACCCTCCTCGGCCTCCCAAAGTGCTGGGATTAGAGGCGTGAGCCACCGCGCCCGGCCTGGGCTAAGCTGTGTTTAGCCTAATTTTCATGAAACTCACCGAATACTTACGGGTTCTGCTTTTCCACACGCTGCGGCTCAGCTGGCTGCATGAGGAGGCCACGGTCCAGCAGGTGGACGTGATCCCCCAGGACGGAGCAGCCGACGTCAGGGTCGTCATCAGCCACTCGGCCTACGGCAAATTCCGGAAGCTCTTTCCAGGATGAGCAGGAGCCCGAGGAGGCCTGGGGTGCGGTGGCATCGCTGTGTCACGAGTGGGGTCCCCTTTGTCAGCCTCTCTGTTCCAGGCGCTTGCTGTGATAACCACGCAGGCCGGTGGCACGCTCACGGATGCTCCGACGTGGGCCTCCCCAGAGTCCACGCCACACAATTCCACTGGGCCCTCGGAATGTTCCGACAGCAGGACACGAACCTGTGTTTCTGCCTCTGTGAGCAGCATGTCCGGCGTCTCCTGCCTCCGCTGTGACCCGTGGCCCTCGTGGGCACACGTGGCCCCTCCGCCCGGCTATCTGTGCTCACAGACTGGCCTCGTGGCCCACGGCCGTGCTGGTGAAATGACTATAAACCGGGCCTCTGTCCACATGGAAACAAACACCTCGTACGTGTTCGTTTGCTCTGAGACAGACTCTCCGTCCCCCAGGCCGGACTGCAGGGGCGGGATCTCTGCTCACGGCAACCTCCGCCTCACGCGTCCGAGCGATCCTCCTGCCTCAGCCTCCCGAGTAGCTGGGACTACAGGCGGCCTCCGCCACACCCAGCTGATTTTTGTATTTAAAGTAGAGACGGGGTTTCACCATGTTGGCCAGGCTGGCCTCGAACTCCTGACCGGATGATCCACCGGCCTCGGCCTCCCAAAGTGCTGGGATTACAAGCATGAGTCACTGCGCCTAGATTTTTTTTTTCTTTTTTTTTTTTTTTCGAGACAAGGTTTCGCTCTTGTCACCCAGGCCGGAGTGCAATGGCGCGACCTCGGCTCACCCAAACCTCCGCCTCCCGGGTTCAAGCTATTCTCCTGCCCCAGCCTCCCGAGTAGCTGGGACTACAGCTGCCCGCCACCTCCCAGCTCAATTTTTTTGTATTTTTCATAAAGACTGGGGTTTCCCCAGGCTGGCCAGGCTGGCCTCGAACTCCTGACCTCAGGTGATCCACCCACCTCGGCCTCCCAAAGTGCAGGGCCGACACGTGTGAGCCGCCGCGCCCGGCCCGGATGAACGTTTTGTAAAGATGCCTCCCGTGTCCTGTCCTGAAACCAGATACACACATTTGGGTTTAATCCCGTTCATTTATTTAAATGGTCCATGAATCCCCTGGTTGTGTGGAAGAGACGCCGATAGAGACCCCAGCGTTTCAGGACGGGGATTCGGAGCCGACGGACGTCGGGGAAATCGCCTGTAACGGGGCGTAGTCGTGGGGTGACGAAGCCGTGGGTACGGCCGATGAGTGCGTCTTTGTTTGTGTGTGTTTTTTATTTTTTAAAAGGACTCTTGCTGCCCAGGCTGGAGTCCAGTGATGCGATCTCGGCTCCCTGCAGCCTCCGCCTCCCGGGTTCAAGCGATCCTCCTGCCTCAGCCTCCCGAGTAGCTGGGATTACAGGCGCCCGCACCACGCCCAGATCATTTTTTTGTATGTTTAGTAGAGACGGGAGTCGCCGGGCGCGGTGGGTCACGTCTGTCATCCCAGCACTTTGGGAGGCCCAGGCGGGTGGATCACCTGAGGTCAGGAGTTCGAGACCAGCCGGGGTAGCACGGTGAAAACCCGTCTCATCGGGCGCGGTGGCTCACACCTGTAATCCCAGCAGGAGGGTGAGCCACGTGGATCACCTGAGGTCAGGAGTTCGAGACCGCCCTGTTCAATATCGTGAAATCTCGTCTCTACTAAAAAAAAAAAAAAAAAAAAAAAAAAAATTAGCTGGGCGTGGTGGCACGTGTCTGTCATTACAGCTACTCTGGAGTAGCTGAGGCAGGAGAATGGCTTGAACCCGGAAGGCGCAGCTTGTGAGCGGAGATCACCGCATTGCACTCCAGCCTGGGCGACAGAGCAAGGCTCCATCTCAAAAAATAAATAAATAAATTTTAAAAAGAAACGCCGCGTCTACCAAAAAAACACAAAAAGTACTCCGGGCGTGCTGGCGGGCACCTGTAATCCCGGCTGCTCGGGAGGTCGACGCGCCAGAATCTCTTGAACCCCAGGAGGCGGGGGATGCACTGAGCCGGGATGGCACCTCCGCGCTCCAGCCTGGGCGACCGGACGAGACTCCATCTCAAAATTAATAATCATCATTACCTGGGCATCGTGGGTCACACCGACAGTCCCAGGTACTTGGGAAGCTGAGGAAGGGGGACGGCTCGAGCTCAGGGGTTGAAGGTTACACGGAGCTGTGACTGTGTCAGTGAACAACCTGAGCAACAGAGCCAGCCCCCGTCTCTACAAGAAAAAAAATAATTAGCTGGGCCTGGTGGCCGACACCTGAGGTCCGACCGTACATGGGAGGTTGAGGTGGGAGGATCACCTGAGCCCAGGAGTTTGAAACCAGACCCTGCAACATGGTGAAACCCCGTCTCCACCAAAACTACGGAAATCTGCTGGGTGTGGGGGGTGTGCACCTGTCGTCCCAGCTACTCAGGAGGCTGAGGGAGGAGAATCGCTTGAACCCGGGCGGCGGAGGTGGCGGTGGGCGGAGATCGCGCCACCGCGCTCCAGCCTGGGCGACACAGTGAGACTCTGTGTCGAGAAAGGAAACCCTGGCTTGGTGTGTGTGGGGGCGACCCAAGGGGGTTGCTGGCTTGCACGGGGGAGGCCGGCTCCCAGGGGCGTTGTTACTGTGTTTATCAATCACTGATTTGTGGGACGACCGTCTTTCCCGGGGTCTGTGTGGGCTGCAGACACCACAGCAGGAAGGACATAGAAATAAGTCATCCCATCACTTTGGGAGGCTGAGCTGGGAGGATTACTTGAGGCTACAAGGTCAAGACCCCATCGAGACCAGCCTGGCCAGCACGGCAAGACCCCATCGAGACCAGCCTGGCCAGCACGGCAAGATCCCATCTCTATTTCTTAACAAAAAGAAAAGGAAGGCATACGACCGGTCCCCTGATCACCAACATCTAACCCACGCATAAGGCACAATACTTGGGACGTCAGGGGTGAACCTGCAGCCGCCGCGTCCCGGACTTCGGAAGGGTCCCCGTCAGCACCACAGAAGCTTCCGGTTCAGTGCCACGACGTCGCTGACGAAGCCGTCTTTGCCCACGAAGTCTCCCGCGATGACGTTGGTGCAGCGGGACCCCGGCCCCGGGCACTGCTCCCGGACCCAGGCGCACAGGCGCGGCAGGTTGGGCGTCGTCAGCTTCTGCAGGGACTCCGACGGGTGCGCCAGGATGTACGGCAGGTTCTCAGTCAGGTTGATGCCGGCCACAAACAGCCCTCCTAGCACAGTGGGGTGAGGGAGACGTCACACGGCCACCTGCCTCCACCCGCCCGTTTGCCCCTCTTACTCACATGGTTAGAGGTTCAATTCTCAGTAATTATGGCCACAAAGATGCCCACGTCCTGATCCCCATGTGGGAGACAGAATAATGACCCCAAAGATGCCCACGTCGTGATCCCCATGTCGGAGACACAATAATGGCCCCAAAGATGCCCACATCCTGATCCCCATGTGGGAGACAGAATAATGGCCCCAAAGACGCCCACGTCCTGATCCCCATGTGGGAGACAGAATAATGACCCCAAAGACGCCCACGTCCTGATCCCCATGTGGGAGACAGAATAATGGCCCCAAAGATGCCCACGTCCTGATTCCCATGTGGGAGACAGAATAATGACCCCAAAGACGCCCACGTCCTGATTCCCATGTGGGAGACAGAATAATGGCCCCAAAGACGCCCACGTCCTGATTCCCATGTGGGAGACACAATAATGACCCCAAAGATGCCCACATCCTAATCCCCATGTGGGAGACACAATAATGGCCCCAAAGATGCCCACGTCCTAATCCACATGTGGGAGACAGAATAATGGCCCCAAAGATGCCCACGTCCTAATCCACATGTGGGAGACAGAATAATGGCCCCAAAGATGCCCACGTCCTGATTCCCATGTGGGAGACAGAATAATGGCCCCAAAGACGTCCACGTCCTAATCCCCGTGTGGGAGACAGAATAATGGCCCCAAAGATGCCCACGTCCTAATCCACATGTGGGAGACAGAATAATGGCCCCAAAGACGTCCACATTCTAATCCCCGTGTGGGAGACAGAATAATGCCCCAAAGACGTCCACGTCCTAATCCACATGTGGGAGACACAGTAATGGCCCCAAAGACGTCCACATCCTAATCCCCATGTGGGAGACAGAATAATGGCCCCAGACGTCCACGTCCTAATCCCCATGTGGGAGACACAATAATGACCCCAAAGATGCCCACATCCTGATCCCCGTGTGGGAGACACAATAATGGCCCCAAAGATGCCCACATCCTGATCCCCATGTGGGAGACAGAATAATGGCCCCAAAGACGTCCACGTCCTAATCCCCGTGTGGGAGACAGAATAATGGCCCCAAAGATGCCCACGTCCTGATCCCCATGTGGGAGACACAATAATGGCCCCTAAGACATCCACGTCCTAATCCCCATGTGGGAGACACAATAATGGCCCCAAAGATGCCCACGTCGTGATCCCATGTGGGAGACAGAATAATGGCCCCAAAGATGCCCACATCCTGATCCCCATGTGGGAGACAGAAGAATGGCCCCTAAGACATCCACGTCCTGATCCCCGTGTGGGAGACAGAATAATGGCCCCAAAGACGCCCACGTCCTAATCCACATGTGGGAGACAGAATAATGGCCCCAAAGACGTCCACATTCTAATCCCCGTGTGGGAGACACAATAATGGCCCCAAAGACGTCCACATCCTAATCCACATGTGGGAGACACAGTAATGGCCCCAAAGACGTCCACGTCGTGATCCATATGTGGGAGACACAATAATGGCCCCAAAGACGTCCACGTCCTAATCCACATGTGGGAGACACAGTAATGGCCACAAAGACGTCCACGTCGTGATCCCCATGTGGGAGACACAATAATGGCCCCAAAGACGTGCCCATCCTAATCCCCATATGGGAGACAGAATAATGGCCCCAAAGACGTCCACGTCCTAATCCCCGTGTGGGAGACAGAGAAGAACGCTGTTGCCTTCGGCACAGTCTGTGCCATTTGTCATGAGGCTTATAGTGTTGACACCGACCAGTGATTGTGGAAATGGGGTCCCTGCATAATGAGAAATGCACATTTTTGAGGGTCCACTTAGATCTGCTGAGGCAGAATCTCTGCAGGGCAGGGCGAGGAGGGCTGCAGGCTGTCCTGGAAGGAGCCCCCCCAGGGGTAGGCAGGTTCCCGTGCCCCTGTGTTGTCCAGTTGTGCTCAGTCCAAGCCCAGAAGACAGCAGAAGGTTAAGGCCACGTTCTCTCAGTGGCTTTTAAGACTTTTTTCTAGGCCGGGCGTCGTGGCTCACGCTTGTAATCCCAGCACCTTGGGAGGCTGAGGCGGGCAGACCATCTGAGGTCAGGAGTTCAAGACCAGCCTGGCCAACATGGTGAAACCCCGTCTCTGGTAAAAATACAAAACATTAGTTTGGGTGTGGTGGCGCATGGCTGTAATCCCAGCTACTCGGGAGGCCGAGGCAGGAGAACTGAATCGCTTGAAACCGAGAGGCGGAGGATGCAGTGAAATGAGATTATGGGGTTGCACTCCAGCCTGGGGGAGAGGAGTGAAACCCTGTCTCAAAAAAAAAAAGTTGTTTTTTTTTTTTTTTTTTTAATTTAAAATAAAGATGGGATTTCTCCATGATGGCCAGGCTGGTCTCGAACTCCTGACCTTAGGTGATCCAGCAACCTCGGCCTCCCAAAGTGCTGGGATGACAGGCGTGACCCACCACGCCCCGGCCTCGGTTTACTTTTAAACTGTTTTCACGTAGAGGTGAAGGCGAGTCCGTGCACCCGGCCTGATGCAGGGAGTCTCGGAGAGCTGCGTGGACCCCGCCCCCACGGGACGGGACCTCATACGTGGACTCCGCCCCCACGGGACGCTAACGCGTACGGGGACCCCGCCCCCATGGGACGTGACGTCGTACGTGGGCCCCGCCCCCACAAGACACGTCTTCATACGTGGACCCCGCCCCCACAAGACACGTCTTCATACGTGGACCCCGCCCCCACGGGACATGTCCTCATACGTGGACCCCGCCCCCATGGGACGTGACGTCGTATGTGGACCCACCCCCCCCACCCCCACAGGACGTGACGTCGTACGTGGACCCCACCCCCACGGGACGGGACCTCCTACGTGCACCCCGCCCCCAAGGGACGTGACCTCAATAGTGGACCCCGCCCCCCACGGGAGATGATGTTGTAGTAGACCCCACCCCCAGGGGAACGTGACGTAGTAGTACGTAGGTCCTCACCCCCGCCCCCACAAGACACCTCCTCCTACGTGGACCCCGCCCCCATGGGACACCTCCTCGTACATGAACCCCGCCCCCAGGGGAAGTGACGTCGTACGTGGGCCCCGCCTCCACTGGAAGTGACGTCGTACGTGGGCCCCGCCCCCACTGGACGTGACGTCGTAAGTGGGCCCCGCCCCCACAAGATGTGTCCTCGTACGTGGACCCCGCCCCCACGGGGCGTGGCCTCGCACCTGGACGGCCACAGCTCTTCATGGTCTCCAGGTATCGGATGAGGGCGTCGGGCTTCACCTGGTCCCCCCACCAGTAGGGGATTCCCGGCCATAGCTCCCGGTGCCGGCCCAGGGCGCTCTCGTCCTCATAGGACACGATGACCTGCTGGCCGCGCGCCCACAGCTGCCTCAGCGTCGGCACCTCCTGCAAAGAACCCGGGTTCAGAGGTGCACGGGAGAGAGGAGAGCCGGGGACGTGGGGGGCACCCAGGAGGTCGGGGCGCCGCGGAGGGGGGAGGGAAACACGTGTGCGTAGAAACCACACGTGACATTCTGGCCTGTCATCCAGCACTTTGGGAGGCCGAGGTGCGCGGATCACCACAGGTCACGGGTTCGAGACCAGCCTGGCCAATATGGTGAAACCCCATCTTTAAAAAACAAAAAAATTTACCCGGCACGGTGGGTCACACCCGTAATTCCAGCACTGTGGGAGGCCGAGGTGGGCGGATCACCAGAGGTCATGAGTTCGAGACCACCCTGGCCAATATGGTGAAACCCCATCTTTAAAAAAAAAAAATATTTACCCTGCACGGTGGCTCACACCCGTAATCCCAGCACTTTAGGAGGCCGAGGTGGGCGGATCGCCACAGGTCACGGGCTCGAGACCAGCCTGGCCAACTTGCTGAAACCCCGTCTCTACTAAAAGATATAAAATTAGGTCGGGCACGGTGGCTCTCGCCTGTAATGCCAGCACTTTGGGAGGCTGAAGCGGGCAGATCACCTGATCTGTAATCCCAGCAATTTTGGAGGCCGAGGTGGGCGGATCGCCACAGGTCGGGGGTTCGAGACCAGCCTGGCCAATATGGTGAAACCCCATCTTTAAAAAAAAAAAAAAAACATTTACCCGGCACGGTGGGTCACACCCGTAATCCCAGCACTTTGGGAGGCCGAGGTGCGCGGATCACCACAGGTCACGGGTTCGAGACCAGCCTGGCCAACTTGCTGAAACCCCGTCTCTACTAAAAGATATAAAATTAGGTCGGGCACGGTGGCTCTCGCCTGTAATGCCGGCACTCTGGGAGGCTGAAGTGGGCAGATCACCTGATCTGTAATCCCAGCAATTTGGGAGGCCGAGGTGGGCGGATCGCCACAGGTCGGGGGTTCGAGACCAGCCTGGCCAATATGGTGAAACCCCATCTTTAAAAAAAAAAAAAAATTTACCCGGCATGGTGGGTCACACCCGTAATCCCAGCACTTTGGGAGGCCGGGGTGCGCGGATCACAAGGCACAATCTCTGCTCACGGCAACCTCCACCTCCCGGGTTCAAGCCATTCTCCTGCCTCAGCCTCCTGAGTAGCTGGGATTACAGGCACGCGCCACCATGCCCAGCTAATTTATTTTATTTTTAGTAGAGACGGGGTTTCACCGTGTTGACCGGGATGGTCTCGATCTCTTGACCTCGTGATCCAGCCACCTCGGCCTCCCAAGGTGCTGGGATGACAGGCGTGAGCCACTGCGTCTCATTTTTTTTTTTTTTTACATGTGTGAGCCACCATGCCCAGCAGAGTCCGGCTTTTTCATCAACATGGAGGGTTTCTGGCTCAGAGGAGGGTCCAGGAAGCTGGGGAGTGTGGTCAAAACTGGAGCCTCCCCCTGCCCCCACCACGGCTTTGAGACCCTCACCCGGCCAGGGCACGAGTTTTCCTCAAAAGCTGCCCCTGGCACAAAAGGGGACCCACTCAGAAAACACCCCTCGGCCTGGCGAGGTGGGTTACCATCTGCCATCCCAACACTTACTGGGGCCCATGTGGGCAGATCACGCGGTCAGGGGTTCGAGACCAGCCTGGCCGACATGGTGAAACTCCATCTCTACTAAATATACAAAAATTACCGGGGCGTGGTGGGGGACACCTGTAATCCCAGCTACTCAGGAGGCTGAGGCAGGAGAATGGCTTGAACCCAGGAAGTGGAGATTGCAGTGAGCCCAGATTAAATAAATAAACGGTTATAATAATAACTTATTATACAAATTATCTTTAAATTATTTATATTATGTTTATAATAGTAAATTTTATAATAAATAAGTTATTATTTATAATAATAAAAAATAAGGCCGGGCGCGGCGGCTCACGCCTGTCGTCCCAGCACTTTGGGAGGCCGAGGCGGGTGGATCACGAGGTCGAGAGATCGAGACCATCCCGGTCAACATGGTGAAACCCCCGTTTCTACTAAAAATACAAAAAATGAGCTGGGCACGGTGGTGCGTGCCTATAATCCCGGCTACTCCGGAGGCTGAGGCAGGAGGATCGCTTGAACCCGGGAGGTGGAGGCTGCAGGGAGCCGAGGTCGCGCCACTGCACTCCAGCCTGGGCGACGGACGGAAACGCTGTCTCAGGAAATACATATACAATTAAATAAACAAATGAAGATTTTTAAAAAATTAAAAACTTTTTACAAGGAGCTGGGATGACAGGCGCCCGCCACCACGCCAGACTAATTGTTGTATTTTTAGTAGGGATACCAACCTCGGGGCGCCCGACCTAATTTTTCCTTTATTTTTATTTTTTTGGAGTCTCACTCCGTCGCCCGGGCTGGGGTGCGATGGCACAAATCTCAGGTCACCGCAACCTCCGCCTCCCGTGTTCAAGCGATTCCCCTGCCTCAGCCTCCCCAGTAGCTGGGATTACAGGCGCGCACCACCACGCCCGGCTAGTTTTTTTGTATTTTTAGTACAGACGGGGTTTCACTGTATTGAGCAGGCTGGTCTCGATCTCCTGACCTTGCGATCCGCCCGCGCCGGCCTCCCGAAGTGCTGGGATCACAGATGTCAGCCCCCGCGTCCGGGGGGAGCTGCTGTCGTTCAAAACTCCACCTGCCGCAGGGATCACGGCTGCGGCCACACCCCGGGGGGGGGAACCAGGTAACCAAATGCAGGGTGACGGTGACGATCCCCCAGCCCAGGGACAGGCCCGTGGCCGTCGTCCTCCCTCGTCGCTCACCCCGCGGGGACACAGCATCTCCCCGAAGATGGTGTTGATGCAGGAGATGAGGTACTCGTGCAGGTCCTCGCTCAGCCCCTCGAAGTTTCTGCAGGCCAGGATGACCACCTCGCGAGGATGTCGCTCGAGCCACTCTGAGATCTCCGTGAGCGTGTCCTGGGAGGGGTGGGGGGGGGGGTGGGGGTCAGAGTCCTGCATGAGTCCCAGGGCTCGGGGAAGGCCGGGCTCGATGGGTCACGCCCGTCATTCCAGCGCTTTAGGAAGGCGAGGCGGGCGGATCACCTGAGGTCGGGAGTTCAAGACCAGCCTGGCCGACGTGGCGATACCCCGTCTCTACTAAAAATACAAAAATTAGCCGGGCGTGCTGGGGGGCACCTGTCATCCCAGCTACTCAGGAGGCTGAGGCAGGAGAATCGCTTGAACCCGGGAGACGGAGGCTGCAGTGAGGCAAGATGGCACCACTGCACTCCAGCCTTGGCAAAAGACAAGGACTGTCTCAAAAAAAAAAAAATACAGGATGGATACCAAGCTCGGGGCGGGGAGGCAAAGAGGCGGGCAGGGCAGGAAGGGGCCAGAGTAGGGGGCAGAGCAAGCGGAAAAAGGGGGAGCTGGTCTGGGTGCCAGGGGTCACACGATGCCAGCACCATCGGAGGCCGAGGTGGGAGGACTGCGTGAGCCCAGGAGTTCAAGACCCGCCTGGGCAACACAGCAAGACCCCATGTCTACAAAAACCTTAAGAACGAGCCCAGTGTGGCAGTGCGTGCCTGCGGTCCCAGCTCCTCAGGAGGCTGCGGCTGCCGTGACGTACGATGACACCCCCCTTATGCCAGCCTGGGTGACAGAGCAAGGGCCCGTCTCAAAAAAAAAAAGCAAGCGTGTGGATGTCTGTACATGCGTGCACGTATGTGTGTGTGCGTGAATATGTGTGTGTCTGTGTGGGTGTCTTTGCCTGTTTTGTTTTATTTTTTTGAGATGGAGTCTCACTGTGTCGCCCAGGCTGGAGTGCAATGGCGCAATCTCGGCTCACTGCACCCTCCCCCACCTGAGTTCAGGCAATTCTCCTGCCTCGGTCTCCCCAGTAGCTCGGATTACAGGCACGCGCCACCGTGTCCAGCTAATTTTTTGTATTTTTAGCAGAGACGGGGTTTCACCGTGTTGACCGGGATGGTCTCGATCTCTCAACCTCGTGATCCGCCCGCCTCGGTCCCACAAAATGCTGGGATCACAGGCGTGAGCCGCAGCTCCTGGTCTGTCTGCCCGATCCTGTGTGCACACGTGTGCCTGTCTCCACGCGTGAGCCTCTGCACACACACCTGTTTATGTGCACGTGTGTGTGTGTGTGTGTGTGTGTGTGTAGGCGTGTCTGTGTTTCTCCACACGTGTCCATTTGTCTGTGGACACCTCAACCAGAAGCCACTTCACATGCAGACTTCTGACCTCTGAGGAGTCCAGGGAATGAGTCAGATACAGCAGGTGCAGAGCGAGCGAGGGGCGTGGGGTGGGCACAACGCCTTTGCACCCCGAGGCCTGTGGGTGCCTGACGTGCTGTCACAGGGAGCCACGGGCAGCCCTTGGGACGGTGACTTGTCATGTTCAGACTTTAGAAGCCCCTCTGGCAGCCAGGAACAGAATACACTGAACAAACCCTGGACGGGCCTCAGGGACATAAGTGACTCCGTTCTGCAAAAGACCAAGAGGGCCGGGCACGGAGGCTCACGCCTGTCATCCCGGCACTTTGGGAGGCCGAGGCGGGCGGATCCCCTGAGGTCGGGAGTTCGAGACCAGCCGGGCCAAGCTGGTGAAACCCCGTCTCTGTTAAAAATACAAAATTAGCCGGCGTGATGGCTCAAGCCTGGAATCCCAGCACTTTGGGAGGCCGAGGCGGGTGGATCACGACGTCAAGGGATCGAGACCATCCCGGTCAACATGGTTAAAACCCGTCTGTATTAAAAATACAAAAATTAGCTGGGCACGGTGGCGCGTGCCTGTAATCCCAGGTACTGGGGAGACTGAGGCAGGAGAATTGCCTGTACCCGGGAGGCGGAAGTTGCGGTGAGCCGAGATGGCGCCATTGCACCCCAGCCTGGGTGACAAGAGCGAAACTGCGTCTCAAAAAAAATAGAAAGAAAAGAAAAAGGAAAAAAGAAATGAAGAAATTCACGTCGGTCAACAACTCTCCATACGCCGGGCGCGGTGACTCACGCCTGTCATCCCGGCACTTTGGGAGGCCGAGGCGGATGGATCACCCGAGGTCGGGAGTTCGAGACCAGCCCTGGCAACCTGGTGAAACCCGGTCTCTGCTAAAAATACGAAAATCAGCCGGGTGTGGTGGGAGGTGCCTGAGATCCCAGCTACTCGGGAGGCTGAGGCAGGAGAATCCCTTGAACCCCAGAGGCGGAGGCTGCAGTGACCCGAGATCGCGCCATTGCACTCCGGCCTGGGGGACGGAACGGGACTGTGTCTCCAAAAGAACGGAACATAAGTGCTCCTAACAGATCAGCAGGGGTCACCATCTCCTGGTCTCTTGTCCGCCCTGCAGGTGACATCCTCATGCCACCGAAGGTCGGGAACCTCCCCACGGGAGGCCGGCCGCCTCCTCGGAGCTCCCCGTGCGTCCGTCCCCCCCCAGCCCGGCCGTACCTCCACGAGGGCCGTGGTGTAGACCATATGAACGAAATGCAGGTTCTTCTCCGAGCCGTCCAGCATGTGGGCAATCCGCAGGTCTAGGTACCGCACGCCGGCGTCCAGCTGCTCCGTGACGTCCAGCACCTGTGGGCACCAGGCTGCTTTTTTCTTTTTTCTTTTCTTTTTTTTTTTTTTTTTGAGACAGAGTTTCGCTCTTGTCACCCGGGCTGGAGTGCAATGGCGCCATCTCGGCTCATTGCAACCTCCGCCCTCCGGGTTCAAGCATTTCCGCCTCAGCCTCCCGAGTAGCCGGGATCACGGGCACCCGCCACCACGCCTGGCTGAGTTTTGTCTTTTTAACAGAGACGGGGTTTCGCCGTGTCGGTCGGGGCCGGTCTCGAACTCCTGAGCTGAGGTGATCCACCCGCCTCGGCCTCCCAAAGTGCTGGGGTCACAGGTGTCACCCACCACGCCCGGCCTGGTAAATTTTTTTTATTTTATTTTTTTATTTTTAGTCGAGGTGACTTTCACCATATTGAAGAGGCTGGTCTCGAACTCCTGACCTCAGGCGATCCGCCCTCCTCGGCCTCCCACATTGCTGGGATTGCAGACATGAACCTCCATGCCCGGCCAGGAATGGCAAAATGATTAACATAAAAAGGTGAAACAGGGGCCTGGGTGCGACGGCCCAGGCCTGTGATCCCAGCACTTTGGGAGGCCGAGGTGGGTGGATCAGGAGGTCAGGAGTTCAAGACCGGCCTGGCCAACGTGGTGAAACCCCGTCTCTACTAAAATACAAAAAAATAACCACGTGCGGTGGTGGGTGCCTGTAATTCTAGATATTCGGGAGGCTGAGGCAGGAGAATCGCTTGAACCCCAGAGGCTGAGGTCGTAGTGACCCCAGATCGAGCCACTGCACTCCAGCCTGGGCCGCAGAGCGAGACTCCATCTCAAAAAACAACATAACATAATACAACGTACAAACATGGTGACCAACTCTTCTTTGGGGAGGGGGCTCGGGGTGAGCGGAGCTTCTGTGTTTAATCCTCTGTCCCTGGAAATGTGCGGTCACCCTCTGCCTCCTGAGGTCTTGGGGACCCACTCAGTCCCTCCCTGGGACTGGGACCATCTCAGCATCACTCTGCCCCTCCCTGGGACAGGGACTATTTCAGCATCACTGAGTCCCTACATGGGACACGGACCATCTCAGCATCACTCAGTCCCTACCTGGGACGGGGACCATCTGAGCATCACTCAGTCCCTACCCGGGACAGGGACTATCTCAGCATCACTGAGTCCCTACCTCGGACAGGGACCATCTCAGCATCACTCAGTCCCTACCCGGGACGGGGACCATCTCAGCATCACTCAGTCCCTACCCGGGACAGGGACCATCTCAGCATCACTCAGTCCCTCCCTGGGACGGGGACCATCTCAGCATCACTCAGTCCCTCCCTGGGACGGGGACCATCTCAGCATCACTCAGTCCCTCCCTGGGACGGGGACCATCTCAGCATCACTGAGTCCCTACCTGGGACGGGGACCATCTCAGCATCACTGAGTCCCTACCTGGGACGGGGACCATCTCAGCATCACTCAGTCCCTCCCTGGGACGGGGACCATCTCAGCATCACTGAGTCCCTACCTGGGACGGGGACCATCTCAGCATCACTGAGTCCCTACCTGGGACGGGGACCATCTCAGCATCACTCAGTCCCTACCTGGGACAGGGACCATCTCAGCATCACTCAGTCCCTCCCTGGGACGGGGACCATCTCAGCATCACTGAGTCCCTACCTGGGACGGGGACCATCTCAGCATCACTCAGTCCCTCCCTGGGACGGGGACCATCTCAGCATCACTGAGTCCCTACCTGGGACGGGGACCATCTCAGCATCACTGAGTCCCTACCTGGGACAGGGACCATCTCAGCATCACTCAGTCCCTCCCTGGGACAGGGACCATCTCAGCATCACTCAGTCCCTACATGGGACAGGGACCATCTCAGCATCACTCAGTCCCTCCCTGGGACGGGGACCGTCTGAGCATCACTCAGTCCCTCCCTCGGACAGGGACCGTCTCAGCATCACTCAGTCCCGGGACGGGGACCATCTCAGCATCACTCAGTCCCTACCTGGGACAGGGACCATCTGGGCATCACTCAGTCCCTACCTGGGACGGGGACCATCTCGGCATCACTCAGTCCCTCCCTGGGACGGGGACCATCTGAGCATCACTCAGTCCCTCCCTGGGACAGGGACCGTCTCAGCATCACTCAGTCCCGGGACAGGGACCATCTCAGCATCACTCAGTCCCTACATGGGACGGGGACCATATGAGCATCACTCAGTCCCTACCCAGGACAGGGACCATCTCAGCATCACTCTGCCCCTCCCTGGGACAGGGACCATCTCAGCATCACTCAGTCCCTACATGGGACGGGGACCATCTCAGCATCACTCAGTCCCTACCCGGGACGGGGACCATCTCAGCATCACTCAGTCCCTACCTGGGACGGGGACCATCTCAGCATCACTCAGTCCCTACCTGGGACAGGGACCATCTCAGCATCACTCAGTCCCTACCTGGGACGGGGACCATCTCAGCATCACTCAGTCCCTACCTGGGACGGGGACCATCTCAGCATCACTCAGTCCCTACATGGGACAGGGACCGTCTCAGCATCACTCAGTCCCTACCTGGGACAGGGACCGTCTGAGCATCACTCAGTCCCTACCTGGGACAGGGACCGTCTGAGCATCACTCAGTCCCTACATGGGACAGGGACCGTCTGAGCATCACTCAGTCCCTACCCGGGACGGGGACCGTCTCAGCATCACTCAGTCCCTACCCGGGACGGGGACCGTCTGAGCATCACTCAGTCCCTCCCTGGGACGGGGACCGTCTGAGCATCACTCAGTCCCTACCTGGAACGGGGACCATCTCAGCATCACTCAGTCCCTACCTGGGACGGGGACCATCTGAGCATCACTCAGTCCCTACATGGGACAGGGACCATCTCAGCATCACTCAGTCCCTACCCGGGACGGGGACCATCTCAGCATCACTCAGTCCCTACCTGGGACGGGGACCATCTGAGCATCACTCAGTCCCTCCCTGGGACGGGGACCATCTGAGCATCACTCAGTCCCTACCTGGGACGGGGACCGTCTCAGCATCACTCAGTCCCTACCTGGGACGGGGACCATCTGAGCATCACTCAGTCCCTCCCTGGGACGGGGACCATCTGAGCATCACTCAGTCCCTCCCTGGGACGGGGACCATCTCAGCATCACTCAGTCCCTACCTGGGACAGGGACCATCTCAGCATCACTCAGTCCCTACATGGGACAGGGACCATCTCAGCATCACTCAGTCCCTACCTGGGACAGGGACCATCTGACCATCACTCAGTCCCTACCTGGGACGGGGACCATCTCAGCATCACTCAGTCCCTACCTGGGACGGGGACCATTTCGGCATCACGGGGCGCAGAGCCTACCTGGGTGACGGACCATTTCAGCACCACGGGGCGCGTGATGCAGGGGATCCACCTGTTGAGCATCTGCAGCAGCCGGGACTCCCCCTGGGAAATGGGTGACTTCTTGTTGAGGCAGTAGGTCATGGTGTCATGGCTCCCTGCGGGCAGAGCACACACGGGCACGTCACCCGTCAGCCCCGTCCCTGCCACCCGCCGGGAGTCGCTCAGCGTCGTGTTTACGGCGCCGGCACGGGCATGGCGGGGCTGGGTTTACGCTGTCCCCACAAAGTCACGTCCACTGTAACCTGAGGACAAATCCTGTGTGGGAACAGGGTCTCCTCGGATGTCGTTAAGTTGAAGTGAGGTCATGTTTGAGTAGGGAAGGGTCGCAAATCCAGTCACAGGTGTCCGTGTGAGGGACAGACAGGCCGGGCGAGGTGGCTCACACCTGTAATCATCCACGTTGCGGCCTCTATCAGAGCCTAGTTCCTTTTTCATGACTGAGTAATATTCCACAGCACGAGGGGACGACACTCTGTTTATCTCCACTCACACTCTCCACCCTCTAGGAGGCCGAGGCGAGCGGATCACGAGGTCGAGACACTGAGACCATCCTGACCAATATGTATATTTAAATGTTTAAATGTATATTTAAATAAATATATTTAAATATATGAATATATTATATATTTAAATATATAATATATATTTAAATAAACATATATTTAAAAATATAACATATTTAAATATGTTATATATTTAAATTAATATATTTAATAACTTTTTAACATATTTTTAAAAATATATTTTAACAATATATATTTAAATATATATATTTTTATATATATTTTATATATTTTGTTAAAAATACACATATATATTATATATTTTATTAGAATATATGTTTATATACTTATATAAATATATTTATATATTTTATATATTTATATATATTTATATACAATATATTTATTATACATATAATATATATATTATAAATACATATTATATATATTTACATACATTATATTAATATATTTATATACATATTATATATGTATACTTATATAAATATATACGTAATATATATTTAGATAAACTATATATTAGATATATTTTAAATACATATATAACTACGTATGGGTATATACATATAATGTATAAATATACGTATATAAATATATGTGAATAGATACATATAATACGTAGCTATATGTGAATAAATATATATGCATAAACATACATACATATAAATATATATACATCTATTCGGAGACATAGGATCTCACTGTGTTGCCCAGGCTGGTCTCAAACTCCGGGGCTCAAGTGATGCCCCCGCCTCGGCCTCCCAAAGTCCTGGGATTACAGGTGTGAGCCACCGCGCCTGGCCTGAATGTATTTTTAATTTCCGACCCTTGATGCCTGTGGTTGAAGCCCCAGCTTAAACACTGCACGGATGGACCACACCTTCGGCGGTAGCCAAAACGTGGAAATAGTCCAGCTGTCTGTTGATGGATAAGTACATCAACAGAGTGTCGTCCCCTCGTGCTGTGGAATATTACTCAGCTATGAAAAAGGAATGAGGCTCGGACATAGGCCGCAACGTGGATGAAACTTGAGGACGTTAAGAAGCCAGACATGAAAGACCACATATCCTAAAATGACGTTAACATTAAATGTGGAGAACGGAGAAATCCACTGACACAATGTGGATTCGTGGTTGACTGGGACTGCGGTGGCAGTGCGTGAATAAGGAATTACTATTCTTATCGTTTTGAGGCCGAGTTCTGCTCTTGCTGACCACGCTGGAGTGCAGTGGGGCCATCTCGGCTCATCACAACCTCCGCCTCCCAGGTTCGAGCGATTCTTCTGCCTCAGTCTCCCCAGTAGCTGGGATTACAGGCATAGGCCACCGTGCCCGGCTAATTTTGTATTTTTAGTACAGACGGGGTTTCTCCATGTTGATCAGGCTGGTCTTGAACTCCTGACCTCAGCTGATCCGCTGCCTCGGCCTCCCAAAGCGCTGGGATTACAGGCTGGGATCCACCATGCCTGGCCTCCGGGATGCCTTTACTAGGAGCGTGAGAACAGACCCACTCAGTACGCACATGTGTGGGCATGTCTGCATACGGGCATGTGTGCATATGCCTATGCATGTGTGTATATATGTGTGCGGGTGTGTGCCTATGTGCACGTGTGCATGTGTGTGTGTGCATGCTATGTATACAGTTGTGCACGTGTACCTATGTGTGCATGCCTGTGTGTATCCGTGTGTGCATGTACCTATGCATGCGTGTATATACGTGAGTACATGCCTGCACGCATGTGTACGCTTATGTGCATATCCATGCCTATCTGCAAATGTGTATACCTGTGTGCATGTATATATAAACACGTGTATACATGTGTGCTCAGATGCATGCATTCTACGAACATGTGCCTGTTTGTGTGCATGTACCTATGTGCACATGTGCACGTGTACCTGTGTGCATGCATATATACATGTGTATACATGTGTGCACGCTTCGTGCCTATGTGCACGTGTGTATATAAACATGTGTATACATGTGTGCTCATATGCATGCATTCTATGGACATGTGCCTGTGTTTGCGTGTGCATGTACCTATGTGCACATGTGCGCTTATGTGTGCATACGCACATGAGTACATGTGTGTATGTATGTGCATGCATGTGTGGATACTCATGCATCTGTGCATGTGTATATAAACACGTGTATACATGTGTGCTAACATGCATGCATTCTACAAACGTGCGTGTTTGTGTGTGCATGTACCTATGTGCACGTGTGTATGTGTGCATGCATATATACATGTGTATACATGTGTCGACGTGTGTGCATGCTTTGTGCCTGTGTGCATGTGTCTATACGTATGTGCATTGTGTACCTATGTGTGCGTGCACATGTGTGTGCTTATGTGTGTGCACATGCACATGAGTACATGTGTATATGTATGTGCATGCATGTGTCGATACTCATGCCTGTGTGCATGTGTATATAAAGACGTGTATACATGTGTCCTCATATGCATGCATTCTACGGACATGTGCCTGTGTTGCGTGTGCATGTACCTATGTGCATGCATATATACATGTTTATACATGTGTGCACGCTTCATGCCTATGTGCATGTGTGTATACGTGTGCATTGTGTACCTATGTGCGCATACACGTGTGTGCTTACGTGTGTGCATATGCACGAGTATATGTGTGTATGTATATGCTTGCATGCATGTGTGGATACTCATGGCTGTGTGCATGTGTGTATAAGTGTATACATATGTGCCCATCTACATGTACCTATGTGCATGTCTATACGTGTACCTATGTGTATGTGTGCATACCTCTGTGTGCGTGTATACATGTGAGTACATTATGCATGTGTGTGCATGGTGGTGTGTTGTGTGCATACCCATGCCTATGTATACGCACACACGTGTGCACTGTGCATGTGTGTGTCCACATCGGCATGCTTTGTGGGATGTCCCTACACCCAGGATTGCTCCTACAGCCGGCACCTCCACTGGGGAACACAGGGGCACCGGCCCCCACCCCTCGCGCCCTCACCTGGGATGGAGAGGTGGTGGAGGGGCACGTCCCAGAGCCGGGGACACAGCGCCGACATCCAGTCCTCGTTCGTGTTTGTGCAGCCCACTCCCGAGACGGCCCTGGAAGCGCTCGCCGGCCCATCCATCACAGGCGAACCCTGGGAACCAACCTGAGGAAGAGGGAGAGCAAAAAAGGTTTTCCACGGGTAAATCTGTGCTCCTGGCAGGCACTGTGGCTGACGTGTGTCATCCAGCACTTAGGGAGGCCGCGGCGGGCGGATCACGAGGTCAGGAGTTCAACACCAGCCTGGCCAACATGTCGAAATGCCACGTCTACTAAAAATACAAAAATTAGCCAACTTCCTGCACGTCCCACTCGCCATCGTGCCACGAGACTACAAAGAACAAAGGAAAACACACACCTTTATCCCTGACCCGTGTGGGGTCGTCCTTCCTGCCGTGTCTGAGCCCCGTGGGCCGGAGCCAGACTCACCATCTAAACTAAAACCCGACTTGCTGAAAACTTAAAACTTTTCTAAACAGGTGAAAGCCACGGAGAGCTGGGACCCACCTGTGAGCACGTCCAGCTCTGATATCTCGGTGAAAGGACAAGGACACAGAATGTAGTATGTGCCTGTGAGCTCGGTTTGTCTAACAGCTATGTAGGATTACTATGGAATACTATGCAACCATGAAAAAGGATGAGCTCGGCGTGTCTAACAGCCACGTAGGATTACTATGGAATACTATGCAGCCATGAACAAGGATGAGCTCGGCGTGTCTAACAGCCACGTGGGATTACTATGGAATACTATGCAGCCATGAAAAAGGATGAGCTCGGCGTGTCTAACAGCCACGTAGGATTACTATGGAATACTATGCAGCCATGAAAAAGGATGAGCACGGTGTCTCTAACACCTATGTAGGATTACTATGGAATACTACGCAGCCATGAACAAGGATGAGCTCGGCGTGTCTAACGGCCACGTAGGATTACTATGGAATACTATGCAGCCATGAAAAAGGATGAGCTCAGCGTGTCTAACAGCCACGTAGGATTACTATGGAATACTATGCAGCCATGAAAAAGGATGAGCTCGGCGTGTCTAACAGCCATGTAGGATTACTATGGAATACTATGCAGCCATGAAAAAGGATGAGCATGGTGTGTCTATGTCGTCTTTCTTTCCCATGCGTGTGGAACCGCAAGGGGGAGGGACAGAGAGAGACAGAGAGACAGAGACAGAGAGAGGACAGAGAGAGAGACAGAGAGACAGAGACAGAGAGGGACAGAGAGAGAGACAGAGACAGAGACAGAAAGTGACACAGAGAGAGAGAGACAGAGAGAGAGACAGACAGACACAGAGACAGAGAGAGGACAGAGAGACAGAGACAGAGAGAGACAAAGACAGAGAGAGAGAGAGGACAGAGACAGAGAGACAGAGACACAGAGAGAGAGAGGACAGAGAGACAGAGAGAGGACAGAGAGACACAGAGACAGAGACACAGAGACAGAGAGACAGAGACAGAGAAACAGAGACAGAGACAGAGAGCGACAGACACAGAGAGAGAGAAACAGAGAGCGATCCAGAGCCCCCTGGGGCAACCCCCACTCCAACGAGGAGTTCCCAAAGCCTCTTTCCTGGGGTGACTGCAGCATGTCTCTCCTGCCTTGTGGGGAGCCCCCACCCTGACATCATACGTCAAACCCTCCAGCCTAGGACTGTGAAAAGGTCCCCACAGGTGATTCCGTGGGTTCTCCCAGCTGTGGGGTTTCCCAAGTGTGTAATCTACGTGGCACGGGGGCCTCAGTCCTGGGTGCGGCAGAGCCACGTAACGCACTGCCTGGGGGGGTGGGGGGCCCAGGTCCTGCACCTCCAAGCCTGGCCCCCACAGGGGCTCCGCCTCCATCTGTTGGGGTATCGGGTCCTGGTGCGGGAAATCTCTCTGAAGAAGCTTCCCAGGCTGATAAAACAAGGAAATCCAGGCCGGGCTCGGTGGCTCACGCCCGTCATCCCAGCACCTCGGGAGGCCGAGGCGGGTGGACCACGAGGTCAAGAGATCGAGACCACCCTGGGCAACATGGTGGAACCCCGTCTCTACTAAAACACAAAAGACTTAGCCGGGCGTGGTGGCGGGTGCCTGTAGTCCCAGCTACTCGGGAGGCCGAGGTGGGTGAATCGCTTGAACCTGGGAGGCGGAGGTCACGCCCCTGCACTCCAGCCTGGCGCCTGGTGATGGAGTGAGACTCTTGTCTCCAAAAAAAAAAAAAAAAAAAAAAAAAAAAACACGTGTTGCCCAGGCTGGAGTGCAGTGGCGCCATCTTCGGTTCGAGCATCCTCCTGCCTCAGTCTCCCCAGTAGCTGCGATTGCAGGCGCCCCCCACACATCAGGCTATTTTTTTTTTTTTTTTTTTGTATTTTTAGTAGAAATGAGGTTTTGCACCACGTTGGCCAGGCTGGTCTGGAACTCGCGACCTCAGGCGATCCGCCCGCCTCGGCGTCCCAAAGGGCAGGGATGACAGGCGTGAGGCACCGCGCCCGGCCGGGGTTTCCCGTCATTAGAAACCCCCTGTGTCTCTGCAGCCCGGGGGGCTCTTTTCTTGTCCCCTCCTTCTTTCTGGCCTAATAAACTCAGCTCCTGAAAAAGGCTCCACGTGCGTCCGGCCCGTGGGATTTCTCAGCCAACAGCGCCCCCTGGTGGACGCGGGAATCCTCTTCACAACACACATCGCTAGTCCTCCGCCCTTCCCTCCAATCCCCTCTCACAGCAGATTCACGGGGTCAGCAGTTCGAGACCAGCCTGGCCGACGCGGTTAAACCCCGTGTCTGCTAAAATAGGAAAAGGAGCCGGGCGTGATGGCGGGTGCCTGTGATCCCAGCTACTCGGGAGGCTGAGGCAGGAGGATCGCTTGAACCCGGGAGGCCGAGATCGCCCCACCGCACTCCGGACTGGGGAACAGACTGAGACTCTGTCTCTAAAACAAAATAAAAAGCGTTACGGCTCTTTTGCAATTTCTATAGCAGGCTCTGCGGGGTTCGCCGGAAAGCCCCCCAAAAAAATTGATTTAAAAAATAAAATTAAAATAAAATAAATAAATAAAATAAGGCCGGGCGTGGGAAGGTCCCACGTGTCATCCCAGCACTTTGTGAGGCCGACGTAGGTGGATCACCTGAGGTCGGGAGTTCGAGACCAGCCTGACCAACATGGAGAAACCCGTGTCTATATAAAATGAAATTAAATTAAAATAAATCAGTCTCTGAGCTACTTTTCTGATGGGAGAGCTCTGCTTTCAACAGTCACGAGGAAGATGAGCTTCCGTAGCCACATTTCAGTCTGGATATTGTCCCATCGGCAGGAAAATGGCCATTCTGTTCCTATGTTTTTTTCCTTTCTCTTTTTTTTTTTTTTTTTTTAAGACGGAGTTTCGCTCTTGTCACCCAGGCTGGAGTGCGATGGCGCGATCTCGGCTCACCGCAGCCTCCGCCTCCCGGGTTCAGGTGATTCTCCTGCCTCAGTTTCCCGAGTAGTTGGGATCACAGGCACGTGCCACCGTGCTCGGGTAATTTTTTGTATTTTTAGTAGAGACGGGGTTTCACCATGTTGACCGGGATGGTCTCGATCTCTCGACCTCCTGATCCGCCCGCCTCGGCCTTCCAAAGTGCTGGGATGACAGGCCTGAGCCACCACGCCCCGTCGTCTGCAAGATTTTTAAGGACTAAATCTGGTGACATTTTCAGATCCGAGAAAACGTTACAGACGGGCCTGGGGTCTCCTCTTAGACGTGGGACCCGGGAGGATCCAGCTGTGCTGGCTGACGCCTGTCATCCCAGCGCTTTGGGAGGCCGAGGCCTGAGGCCAGGGGTTCAAGACCAGCCTGGCCGACGTGGTGAAACTCCGTGTCTGCTAAAAATACAAAAGGTATCCGGGCGTCGAGGCCCATTCCTGTGATCCCGGCTACCTGGGAGGCTGGGGCAGGAAAATCATCTGAGGCCGGAAGGCGGAGGCTGCAGGGAGCTGAGATCATGTTCCCGCATTCCAGGCTGGGTGACAGAGGGACACTCTGTCTCAAAAAAAAAAAAAAAAAAAAAAAATGTTCATCGAGGAAGGGAAGGAACCTCCATGTCCTAGAGAAGAGACTCACCTCAGCAGACTCCGAACGGCAAACCCACCTTGCGCCCCCAACACAGGGGGACGTAGGAATTAGCGGCTCTTAGCCGGGTGCACCTGCTCACGCCTGTAATCCCAGCACTTCTGGGGGCCGAGGTGGGCGGATCGCCTGAGGTCACGAGTTCGAGACCAGCCTGGCCAACACGGTGAAACCCCCGTTTCTACTAAAAATCCAAAAAATGACTCTGGGTGGCAGAACACGATCCTGTGTCTCTGAAAAAAAAAAAAGAAACAAAGAAAAAAAGAATTGTTATTAGTAGAAAGGAATATCCCCATTAAGATGAGGGCTACAGAGACCAAGGGCTTTTCTGTTTATTTGTTTTGAGATGGGAGTTTTGCTCCCGTTCCCCAGGCTGCAGTTCCGTGGCGTCACCTCGGCTCCCCGCAACCTCCGCCTCCCGGGTTCAAGCGATGCTCCCGCCTCAGCCTCCTGAATAGCTGGGATCACAGGCACCGGACACCACGCCCGGCTAATTTGGGTATTTTTAGTAGAGACGGGGTTTCACCGTGTTGTCCAGGCTGGTCTCGAACTCCCGACCTCAAGTGATCCTCTGGCCTCGGTTTCCCAAAGTGTTCGAATTAAGGGCCTGAGACCCCCCTACACACAGCCAGACCTGCGTTTTCACCCCCTCTCCACCCGAGTCCTTGGGACCCTGGGCCTGTTCCTAGGAGGGGACAGGGACAAGCAGGGGCTGAAAGGGGCCGGGCTGGGATGCCCCAGGCAGGTCACTGCCCAGCTGTGCAGGGGGACGAGAAGCTGCCCTGAGCCCTATGTGGCTGGCTGCGTAGACGGGGCCAGGTCCCTCTTGGGGACCCAGAGCCACTGCCCGGCAGAGGTTCATTCTTTTTTTTTTTTTAAATATTGTTTTGAGACACAGTGTCCCTCCGTCCCCCAGGCTGAGTGCAATGGCGCGATCTCCGCTCCCTGCAACCTCCGCCTCCCGGATTCAAGCGATTCTCCTGCCTCAGCCTCCCAAATAGCTGGGATGACACGTACCTGCCACCGTTTCCAGCTCATCCTTTGTATTTTTAGGAGGAGGGTTGGGGTCTCCCCACGTTGGCCAGGCTGGCCTGGAACTCCTCCACCTTGGCCAAAGCACAGTTTCCAGGGTGGACGCAGCGGCTCATGTCTGTAAACCCAGCTGTTTGGGAGTCCGAGGCGGGCGCATCACCTGAGGTCAGGAGTTCGAGACCAGCCTGGCCAACATCGCAAAACCCGTTTCTACTAAAAAAAAAAATACAAAAACTAGCCAGGTGTGGTGGCAGACACCTGTCATCCAGCTACTGAGGAGCCGGAGGCAGGAGGATCCCTTGAACCCGGGAGGCGGAGGCTGCGGTGAGCGGAGATCGCGCCACTGCACGCTCCTATAGTTTCTGGGTCACAAGACTCGATGACATCGGTGTCTCCGAGGAGACGCCACGCCCAGAGCGGCACAGGCTCATCCTCTGTGTCATGAGGGTTCCGTCACCTACGGCCGCAGCCATGACTGTCATAATCCCTCCCCCACGTCTCTGTCCTTCCCCTCCGGCTGGTGACGCCTCCATCACACCCCAGCTCCCCTGACCATGAGGGGCGTCCCCCCTGTCCCCACCCCTGTCCCCATGTCCCCCCAACCCCTCCATCACATTCAAGCTCCCCTGACCATGAGGGCGTCACCCCTGTGCCCACACCTGTCTCCACGTCCCCCTGATTCCTCCATCACACCCCAGCTCCTCTGATCATGAGGGCGTCCCCTCCTATCCCCACACCTGTCCCCATGTCCCCCCGATTTCTCCATCACACGCCAGCTCCTCTAACCAGGATGGCGTCCCCTCCCGTCCCCAAACCTGTCCCCATGTCCCCCCAACCCCTCCATCACACCCCAGCTCCCCTGAGCACTGATGGGCGTCCCCTCCTGTCTCCACACCTGTCCCCATGTCCCCCCAATTCCTCCATCACACCCCAGCTCCCCTGACCATGAGGGGTGTCCCTTCCTGTCCCCACACCTGTCCCCATGTCCCCCCAACCCCTCCATCACACCCCAGATCCCCTGAGCACTGAGGGGCATCCCCTCCTGTCTCCACACCTGTCCCCATGTCCCCCCGATTCCTCCATCACACCCCAGCTCCCCTGACCATGAGGGGCATCCCTTCCTGTGGCCACACCTGTCCCCACGTCCCCACGACCCCTCCATCACACCCCAGATCCCCTGACCATGAGGGGCGTCCCCACCTGTCCCCACACCTGTCCCCATGTCCCCCCAACCCCTTCCTCAAACCCCAGCTCTCCTGAGCAGTGAGGGGCATCCCCTCCTGTCCCCACATCTGTCCTAATGTCCCCCGGATCCCTCCATCACACCCCAGCTCCCCTGACCATGAGGGGCGTCCCTTCCTGTCCCCACACCTGTCCCCACATCCCCCCGATCCCTCCATCACACCACAGCTCCCCTGAGCACTGAGGGGCGTCCCCACCTGTCCCCAAGTCCCCCTGACCGCTCCCCACACGTGACACAATGTGGCAGGCAGCAGCCTGCAGGCGGTCCCCATCCCCGGCCCCCCTGCCCCTCGATCTGCCTGGGGTCTGGAGGCCACCCCACAGAGCACTGACCTTCCCTGGGCAGGTCCTCTCCACCCTTTGGCCTCCACAGTCCAATGACAGACGGGCCCAGAAGCCCGGGGACCCGCCAGGCCAGGTGACAAACCCACACACACCTTCCCCCCCGCTGAGTCCTCAGGAAGGTCACGTCCCAGAGGCATGAGTGGCCGTGACCCACGTCCCAGAGGCGTGAGTGGCCGTGGCACCAACCCAGAACCCACACATGCAGGAAATACCTGCTGGGGAGGCTGAGGCAGGGCAAGTGCTTGCACCAGGGAAGTGGAGGTCGCAGTGAGCCGAGGTCACGTCCCTGCACCCCAGCCCGGGTGACAAGACAGAGTCTCTGTCAAAAAAAAAAGACAGAAAATAAAATAACTTGTCACTGGAAAGTAAAGAATCAATACGAGGGGCCGGGCTCAGAGGCTCAGGCCTGTCATCCCAGCACTTTGGGGCGGCCGAGGCGGGCGGATCACGAGGTCAGGAGTTCAAGACCAGCCTGAGCAACATGGTGAAACCCCATCTTTAAAAAAAAAAATTAAAAAATAAATTAAAAAACTGGCCGGGTGCTGTGGCTCACACCTGTAACCCAAGCACTTTGGAGGCCAAGGTGGGCGGATCGCCCGAGGTCGGGAGTTCAAGACCAGCCTGACCAACATGGCGAAACCCCGTCTTTATTTTTAAAAAATAAAAATTAAAAAATAAATAAATTAAATTAAATTAAATGAGGAACAACAACAACAACAAAAATCCAGCTGAGGAACAAAATAAAATCATAATTAAAAAAAGAAAAGGACGATCAGACTCTGACCCCTGATCCCCACACTGTCCGTGTCTTAACTCCTTCGGCTCCGCCTGGGTTGGGGTCTCCACGGCCGCGCTGGCCCCCGCACCCCGGGACTGTGTGAGGACGTCCAGCCTGTCGAGCGAGTCACGATCCCAAAGTCTCCCGTCCCCACCGTCCCGGGCACAGGGTCCCTCGGACCCAGCAGAGAACTCCCTCCCAGGAGCCTCCCGGCCCCGCAAGGGTCACAGGCTGCCTGGAGCTGCCAGACGCGCAGCCCACACACCGCGGGCGAGTCTCCCGCAATCGCTCCGGCCAAGGGTCCCGGGAGGAGGAGCAGGACGCGGGGCCTGAGTGACGCAAGCGCGGGTTCCCGATCCCGAGCCCGAGCCCGCCACGGGCGCTGACAACCTCCCCCCGCCGACGACCCCATTCCCGCCGTCCGGAGACCGACGCTGTCACTCACGTTCCACCCGCTGCAGTCTCCGCGCTCCCGGCAGCTTCCGGGTCTTTGCGCGACGCACGTCCTAAAACACACACAGGCCGCCGTGATTCGCTGGAGCACACGTGCCTGCTGAAAGAGGGATGCTGTGATTGGCTGGGGCGGACATTCCTGCTGTAGAAGGGACGCTGTGATTGGCTGGGGCGGACATTTCTGCTGTAGAAGGGACGCTGTGATTGGCTGGAGCAGACATTCCTGTTGGAGGAGGGACGGTGTGATTGGCTGGGGTGGACATGCCTGCTGTAGAAGAGACGCTGTGATTGGCTGGAGCGGACAGGAGGAGGGACGCTGTGACTGGCTGGGGCGGACATTTCTGCTGTAGAAGGGACGCTGTGATTGGCTGGGGCGGACATTCCTGCTGTAGAAGGGACGCTGTGATTGGCTGGAGCGGACATTCCTGTTGGAGGAGGGACGGTGTGATCGGCAGGGGCGGACAGGAGGAGGGACGCTATGATTGGCTGCAGCGGACATTCCTGCTGGAGGAGGGACACCGTGATTGGCTGAAGCGGACATTCCTGCTGGAGGAGGGACACCGTGATTGGCTGGAGCGGACATTCCTGCTGGAGGAGGGACGCCCCGACCCCGCCACGGACCTGTAGGCACCGCGGGACACGTGGGCTGCAAACACCGCCCCCAACTCCCGCAGGGACCCGGTTACCCTGCGTCAGGGGAGGGGCCGGCGTCCTGACCAGGCCGGGGGACATGAAGCCCCAACAGTAAATCCCACAGTGCGTCCCCGGGGTCCCCCTGGCTGGGGGTTTAGCGACACTGAGGAGGACGTCCCGAAGATGTGGCCTCGGGGGTGTCTGCGGTCAGCAGAGCCATAGCAGGGGACACGCAGGTCTGTGACTGACGTTCCACTCGGGCCCCTGGTGGCTGCTGCGGGCGGTCTCGTGGAGCCTCAGGACGACTCTGATGCTAATTTTTTATTTTTTAATTTTTTTATTTATTTATTACTTTTAAAGATGGGGTGTCACCATATTGGTCAGGCTGGTCTCGAACTCCTGACCTCAGGTGATCCGCCCACCTGAGACCCCCAAAGTGCTGGGATGACAGGTGTGAGCCACCGCGTCCGGCTGCGATCCTGATTTTTAAGGCTGGGCGCAGGGGCTCACGCCTGTCATCCCAGCACTTTGGGAGGCCAAGGCAGGTGGATCACAGGGTCAGGAGTTCGAGACCAGCCTGGCCAAGATGTTGAACCCTCGTCTCTATTTAAAAAAAAAAAAAAAAAAAGGGTTTTTTTTCCCATCTGTAGCCCTTTCCTCTGCAGGTGTGTGGGTTTGGGAAACACGGCGAGATTTTGTGTAAGTGTCGATTAAAAGATGGTGAGGCCGGCCGGGCGCAGAGCCTCTCACCTGCAATCCCAGCACTTTGGGAAGCCGAGGCAGCTGTATCAACTGAGATCGGGAGTTCGAGACCAGCCTCCAGTCGACATCCGGGGATGAGCTTGTCCCTGTGAGATTCCACGTGTGTCCACGGGGGTCTCTGTGGTCAGAGGGGCCCTTGGAGGGGACATGGAGGTCCTTTTTTTTTTTTTTTTTTTTTTTTGAGATGGAGTCTTACTGTGTCAGCCACGCTGGGGTGCAGTGGGGCAGTCTTGGCTCACCGAAACGTCACCCTCTGGGGTTCAAAGGATTCTCCCGCTTCAGCCTCCTGAGTAGCTGGGATTACAGGCCCGTGCCGACGCGCCCCGCTAATTTTTGTATTTTTAGTAGACGGAGGATTTCATCATAGAGGTCAGGCTGGTCTCGAACTCCTGACCTCATGATACACCCGCCTCAGCCTCCCAAGGAGCTGGGCCTGAGCCACCGTGCCTGGCAACAGGAGGTGTCTGAGTGACGGGTTCCATTGGGCCGTTGGTCACTGCTGGGGCTGTTTTCCGGAAGGCACAGGACGGGGTGGGGCAACAGGGCAGCTGGTTTCGTCTCAGCGCTGGGGGCAAGGCAGGGGGCCGGCAAACGCACCCACCCGGGTGTCCCCTTCGGGTTCCGGCCTCTCCCACCTCCTGTGGCCCTTGTCCCTGCCCTACGCAGGCCACACCGCCCGTGTCAGTGACAGTGGACTGTCCACCCCAGACTCCCCCACCGTGAGCTGACCCGGCGGTGACCAGCAGCCCGGGTCGGGGGTCTGTCCAGGGCCCCATTCCTGCCTCCGCAGCTGCTCACGCGCACCCCGCTGTCTCCCACCCCGGGCTGGATGCCAGGACTGGGCCTCACAGAGCGCACGGATTAGCCGTGTGTGATGGGTGGTGGGGGGGGGCGCCTGTAGTCCCAGCTACTCGGGAGGCTGAGGCAGGAGAATCGCTTGAACCCGGGAGGCGGAGGCTGCAGTGAGCCGAGGTCACGCCACCGCACTCCAGCCTGGGTGACAGGGGCAAAACTCTGTCTCACAGACACGAAAAATGGAGTGCACGGAAGGTTTGTGGGCCGCAGTGGACGACTCACGCGCCTGCCTTGGGATCCCACGTTCCCCGGTGGGATTCTCCCGTGTAACCGTAGCCGGGGCTCCTGTACCCCGTTTCTGTCCCGGCCCGTGTTTCTGCCCTCACCCCAGCTCTGGGGCACCTCGGGGGCAGCTGCTGTCCTGGACATGGGGACGTCTGGCCGGCCGCCAAGCCACAGGCCACGGGCCTGTCTGCCTTCCCTTCCCTCCCAACTCAGGCCCCTCAGCTCCCCACGTCCTAGTGTGACGTGGACCTGTGGTCACGGGGCCTTTCCTCCCTGTGTGTCCTGGTGTGACGTGGACCCCTGGTCTCAGGGCCTGTCCTCCCTGTGTCCTGGTGGGATGTGGCCTGTGGTCACGGGGCCCTTCCTCCCTCTGAGTCCTGGTGTGATGTGGACGTGTAGACACGGGGCCCAGGCTTCCTCCCTGTGTGTCCTGGTGTCACATGGACCTCGGGACACGGGGCCTGTCCTCCCTGTGTCCTGGCATGATGTGGCCTGTGGTCACGGGGCCCTTCCTCCCTCTGTGTCCTGGTGTGACATGGACTCCTGGTCACGGGGCCCTTCCTCCCTCTGTGTCCTGGTGTGATGTGGCCTGTGGTCATCGGCCCTTGCTCCCTCTGTGTCCTGGTGTGACATGGACTCCTGGTCACGGGGCCCTTCCTCCCTCTGTGTCCTGGTGTGATGTGGCCTGTGGTCACGGGGCCCTTCCTCCCTCTGTGTCCTGGTGTGACATGGACTCCTGGTCACGGGGCCCTTCCTCCCTCTGTGTCCTGGTGTGATGTGGCCTGTGGTCACGGGGCCCTTCCTCCCTCTGTGTCCTGGTGTGACATGGACTCCTGGTCACGGGGCCCTTCCTCCCTCTGTGTCCTGGTGTGATGTGGACGTGTGGACACAGGGCCCTGCCTTCGTCCCTGTGTGTCCTGGATCCCTGGATACGGGGCCTGTCCTCCCTGTGTCCTGGTGTGACGTGGACCTGTGGTCCTGGCGCCCGGCCCTTCCTCCCCTCTGTGTCCCGGGCAGCCGGGCGTGGACGGGAGAGCAGGCGAGGACCTCCAGCGGGCTGACGGGGTGTGTCTGCAAACCCCTCCCGGGGCCCGGCACGCCAGCTCTCGGTGGGGCCCTACCCGGGATGCAAAGCCCTGGAACATTCCATCAGCCCGTGTTAGAGGTTAGATTACCGAGGACGGGGAGCACCCCTTCCAGTAGCAAGGAGGGACACCAGGTGGAGATGGATGTTTATTTAATTTATTCATTTATTTTGATAGGGAGTCTTGCTCTGTGGCCCAGGCTGGAGGGCAATGGTGGGATCTCAGCTCAGTGCAACCTCCGCCTCCTGGGTTCAGGCAACTCTCCTGCCTCAGCCTCCCGAGTAGCTGGGATCACAGTTACGCGCCACCCCGTCCGGCTGATTTTTGTATTTTTAGTAGAGACGGGGTGTCACCATGTTGACCGGGATGGTCTCGATCTCTCGACCTCCTGATCCAGCCGCCTCGGCCTCCCAAGGTGCTGGGATGACAGGCCTGAGCTACCGCACCTGGGGGTTTAAGTCTTTTACTGGGGATGGGGACGGGGACATTAAATGCTCTGTGCTGGGGGAGGCTGAGGTCCGGTCGCTAAGGGCCTCGGGGGCACCTGGCAGACGTTTAGAGGAGGGCAGAGTGTCGCGGGGACAGCGGACACGTCACCACGGGCTCCGTGAATTCCAGTGCAGTGGCCTCTGGGTGCGTTTGGAAGAATCCACCCGGCCGGACGCGGGGGCTCACTCCTGTCATCCCAGCGCCTTGGGAAACCGAGGCTGCCGGATCACCTGAGGTCATGGGTTCGAGACCAGCCCGGCCAACCTGGAGAAACCCTACCTGTACTGAAAACGTAAAATTAGCCAGGAGGTTGCAGTGAGCTGAGATCTTGTCACTGCACTCCAGCCTGGCCAACACAGCAAGACTCTGTCTCAAAAAAAAAAAAAAAAAAAAATTAAGAATTCACCCGAAGAGGCCGGACGCGGTGGCTCAAGCCTGTAATCCCAGCACTTTGGGAGGCCGAGGCGGGTGGATCACCTGAGGTCAGGAGTTCAAGAGCAGCCTGGCCATCACGGTGAAACCCCATCCTTAAAAAATAAAAATAAATGGAAGTTTAATGTAAAATTCAGTAACTCAAAAAAATACAAATAAATGCAAGTTTAATGCAAAATTCAATGAGTTGCAAATGGAATCATCAAGAATAAGGGTTGAGTATGAACAGGTGACCTTTTCTGGAGAAGAGGTGAGGTAAAAAAATAATTATTTTTTCCTTTTTTCCCTTACAAACACTTTCGTGTTTTGAGACGGAGTCTCGCTGCGTTGCCCAGTCTCCGGAAAAGCCGGGATGACGGGCAGGCGCCATGATGAGAACGTTTTCGTATCTGTAGAAGGGATGGTGGGGTCTCACTATACTGGCCAGGCTGGTCTCGAACTCATGACCTTGTGATCCGCCTGCCTCGGCCTCTCAAAGTGCTGTGATTACGGGCGTGAGCCTCCGTCCCCGGCCCTTATAAACACCTTCACTGTTGAACGTTTTATTTTATTTCTTTATAATAATTATTTTTTTTTATTAATTTTTTTTTTTTT